CTCATCAAGAGGCTCTTTAGTTCTTCTTCACTTTCTGCCATTAGGGTGGTATCGTCTGCATATCTGAGGTTATTGAACTAAATAGCAATTCATATTCTTGTTCCAGTTTATTGGGGGGGGAAAGGTTGCTTGAGCAGGTCAAAATGGGACTTACAATGCTTCTTCAGTTCCTTCAGAGGTGCCACCCAATGGGAGAGGAATAAAAGCATCCATGCATGAGTTATTAAAATCCTATTTATTATTAATTCTTGGTCAATTGCTAACTTAGTCCAGATTGCTGCCAATCATCACTGCCAATGATAATTCTTGACTGCCCTTCCTGAATATGATTGTGTCATCTTGTGACCTTCCCAATCCCAATGAAGCCTTTTGGCTCACAGAATGAGAGATTCAAGTGTGACTCCCACCAGCCCACAGCAGGAAAGAACCTGGGCTTTTGGCAATAGCAGGTGAGAAGCGGGCTGGGCACAGCTAAACAAATCAGCCCTGTAGGGATACAGGAATCAACTATCCCTGCACGCTGGGTCTGCACAACTACAAAAGCAAAACAAATGAAATATCCAGAGGTAACCCATCCAAGTTTGTATCTTTATAAGTACAACTATCTGGTCTTTATCTGACCAAGTTAAGTGTGTTTGGTGCCCACAGCCAGTGTCTGTGCATATGTGTATATTCTCCCTCCAGAGATTAGGATGGCCCGGACACTGTTGGCTTTTTGTAAAGCCCTAAAGACCTGGTTCTATGCCTGGGCTTGGGGACCCAAGTGTGTGAAGGGTCCATCTCCTGGATGCACTAGCGACTGTTGGTTGTGATATCTTCCTGCTGTGTATCTTAATTTTTATATTTGTGATGGGAATTTAATTTATTTTAAGATTGTTCACTGCCCAGAGTCACTTGCTGAGATGGGCGGCCATACAACTTGAATAAATAAAATAAAATAAAATAAAATAAAATATGTGCAAAAGTTTGTGTGACACCCCTTGCCTTTCACTTTTCTCATGTGGTGGGAAATGTGCAGCTTTCCATCTCTCATTACCAGTAGAATGTCAAGGCCTGGTTAATAATTTGGAGGACATGCAGAAGCCCCAAGCTTGCCATCTTCCTGAATGGTGGTTCTTGTGGCCTTTGATCAAAGCACAAGTTCTGTGTCTCCTAGGCTGGTGGGTTAATCATTAAAACTGGTCTCATTTCAGGTAAAGTGAATCCATACAAATGAAGACTGAGAATTAAATGTTAACTGTTTCCATGCTGAATATCTCCAGTTGAAGCTACTGAGTATGACCTAGTGCAAAGACAATGTTTTCAGTGTGAGGGAGTTATGAAGTAAAAAAGAACAAGTTGGGAATGGAGGATCAGACTCAGTTCTAGTCAAACATCCTTTCCCCACCAGAATAATCTAAGGCAGTGTTTCTCAACCTTGGCAACTTTAAGATGTATGGACTTCAACTCCCAGAATTCCCCA